TCAGATACTTTTCATAATTACCATTGTTGTTACAATATATGTTTCCCTGTCGTAGGAATGAAACTCAATTAGTATCAAATAAACGCTACTTTACTTGTCTACTGTTCCCTTCCCTCCGCTATCGAAATGTTGGGCCATTTATTACCCAAAATTGCAATTCACATGCACATTAACCCCATCCTCCAGTGATTGCAAAATAAATTGAGATCTTGTCCCTTGTAAGACAGAGTCAGTTAGAGCATCTTTGATAAAAATTGAAATGAAGAGTGAATATTTTTATACAACTTCTACAAACCTTCCTATTCTAGTAGTGAAATAGCCAGAGGTAATCAAATAGCATTGTTCACCAATATCCAACAAAAGTGAAATGAGAATCTGTTTACATTTTGGGCTTATGAAATGGCATCATCGTCATCTATGAGGCACAAACTAAGTAGGTGACTCTGAAATTTGTAAGAATGAATTTTATGAAAACTTTGCTTTTACTGCCTGTAAAGTAATCCAACAAAGCTGGCCCCTATAACGCAAATAGCAATGGGTCTATTAGTTGTTGGACGATTAGTAGGAGTCAGTGGGCCTGGGTCGCACTAATTAAACGTTTCAATTTGGTTACATTGTGTTACCGCGGCAATAATCATCCCCTTAGGTCAATGACGAGTTCTCGAAGTGTAACAAGTGTCACACCCACCTCTCGGATCACACAGGATGGATGGTGGGCTGGCCACTAAGGCATTAACCAATCAATTTTATGCATAATAAATATAAAATATAGCAGAAGATAAATAATAAATTGATCCTCCATTGACCTAATGAATATCAAAGATAAACTAAATATCACTAACATTATTACTAATTTCATGTAAAATATTAATTAAATCGTAAGGTTCACTATTCCAAATATGAGTAATATTATTTCCAAAATAATTAAATACTTGTCTCAAAACTACAAAAAATATTTATTCCTGAAGACCTACAGTAAAATAAATCTTCAAGTCCTCTAATCCTTTGTTTATCTGTGAATTTACTCCTCACCCTTTTTCTCAACTGAAAAATGTTAAATGTTTGGATGAGCCCAATGACCCGTGAATAACAACCACCTCTAATAAAATGTGAAAATAAATCTCACAGTTTATGTACAAAAATAAATTTTGATACACACATAAGTACAACAAATTATACCCCAACTCCTCCCATATAATCATTTAAACAAAATGATTTTATGATCACAAAAAAATTTTATAAATGAAAAGACATTTATAACCCAAAACACTTACATATACATTCAATTTCAAATACATTTTTCAAATCATATTTGTTACCACTAGCCTGGTAACTGAATCAGTCTCATGTCATCACTAGTCTAATGACTGGTCCCGTCTCTTATTACGACTAGTCTGGTAACTGGCTCAGTCTCATGTCATCACTAGCCTGATAACTGGCTTCGTCTCTTGCTACCACTAGCCTGATAGTTGGCTCAATCTCATGTCATCACTAACCTGATGACTGGCTACGTCTCTTGTTACCATTAGTCTGATAACTGGTTCAGTCTCATGTCATTACTAGCCTGATGACTGGGTCTGTCTCTTGTTACCATTAGCCTGGTAACTGGCTCAATCTCATGTCATCACTAGCTTGATGACTGGTCCTGTCTCTTATTACCACTAGCCTGCTAACTGGTTTTGTCTCTTGTCATCACTAGCCTGATGACTGACCTAGTCTCTTGTTACCACTTAGATTTGGTAACACCGATCCTCGTCTTATAAACATGATTTTCACACACATTAAAACTGTAGTTTTAGTTTCAACGCACACAAAATTTCTCTTTTATCACCAAAATAATGATATAAAATCATCCTACAAGTTTTCTAAAATTCACATATAAAACAGTTTACAATTTCGAAACATTTAATTACAACCCCAAACATCAACACATATACTATATATATGAAAAATCCACACGCACGCACTCAAACATTTAATATAGAAAATCATCCCAAAAGAAGTAGTAAACTATTCACTTTAATTCCCAAAATTCAATTCAAAGCACTCTCTTTCAACCTCAATGCAATCACCATCTAATCTAAAATAATATATAACAATCAATCCCTATTTCTAATTTCGTCGTTTAACGGTTCTATATTTAATTTTTATACTTCCTATTTATTGATATATATTTTATATATAAATATCTTTTCTAATACGAGGTAATAGGATATGGAAGTATTCTAAGATGTTTAGAAAAAAGTTTCTAAAATTTTGGGGTCAAATAATAGTTTTTGAAATTTTTGGGGTCAAAGTATAATTTTCTTAAAAAACAAAATTTTCTGTTTTTGGTACTGCCATAAATTTTTAAAAATTTTATTCTTACAACTTACCAAGTAAAACAGTGGTTAAAATTACGTTTAGAAGAATATAGATGTCAAAGTAAAGTTCTTTGAAACTAAAAGAGAGCTTTCCATAATTTTACACTTTTCACCATCTTCTTCGGAAGGAAACTCTAAAACCAATAACTTCTTCCCCCTCCCCCACCCCTTTTTTTTTTCTCCTTTTAACACATTTATTAAATTCTTTAAACAACTTCAGGATCAATCAATCTTAAATTAGGTGTAAAAATACTTAAATTAGCAACTTTTAATATAACGTATTTACATATTTATCAATATATATTCATTATCACTATTTATAATAAATCTAATACCATGTAATTGAATAGAATACAAAACTCATAAACTAAGGTAGCGTTTGGTAAATGCTTATTTTCATTTTTTTTTTCATTTTATGGCCAAAAAAAAAAAAATAAAACACGTTTGGTGAATGTTTTTGTTTTTTTTTAATTACTCTATTTTAAAAACAAAGCTAAAATCTAAAAACATTCAAAAGTATGTTTTTGAAAACATCAAAAAGAAAAAAACAAATGAGCGATGGTAAAAGGGATTTAATGAGGTTTGGGCATCGATCCTCCTTAGCAGCAAAAGATGGATTGTTTTGCTCAAGTATAAAAGACCATCTCTCTCTATTCCTTTCACTCCTCTTTGTCATCTCTCTGTCATCTCTCTCTCTCTCGATGCTGAAGTCGAAGCCACGAAGAAGAAGATGAAGCTAAAGCAGAAGGATCCAAACCTTATCACCACTGAAGGATCCAGTCTCTTTCTCTCTCTCTATTTCTTTCAATCTTCCCTACTTTGATAGTGTTGATGGATTTTGGGAAGAAATGATGGGTTTCGATAGTGGTGGGTTTTCGGGGATAGGGGTGGGTTGGGTCATGGGTGGCTGTGGATTTCGGTGATGGGGGTGGCTGTGGGTTTCAGGGATGGGGTTGGGTTGGGTGGTTGTGGGTGATGGGGATTAGGGTGGATTTCAGGGGGTGGTGCTGGTTGGGGTGAGTTTTCGGTGGTGGTGAATTTCAGGGTGGGGGTGGTGGTTTTCGATGGTGGTGGGTGGCTGGTATTCAATGGTGGTGGGTTGTTGGGTGGCTGATTTTCGGTGGTGGTGGGTGGCTGATGGTTGGCTGTTGGTGGTTGGTGGAGGTGTTGAGTGGTGAATTTTTGGGATAATACCAAACATATTTTTTATTTTTATTTTTATAATTTTTTAAATATAAATGACTACTAAATATATTTTATATTTTTAATTTTTATCACAACAAAAACAAAAATTTGTTTTATTTTTTTTTTTATTAAAAAACATAAAAATAAANAAAAACAAAAATTTGTTTTGTTTTTTTTTTTTTATAAAAAAACATAAAAATAAAAACGTTACCAAACTCACCCTAAGTAATAAATCCATGTCTTGGATGAATTCAAACCTTTTTCTTTCTTTCTTTCTTTTTCCTCCTCTCTCTCTCTCTCTCTCTCTCTCTTCTCTAAGCCCCGCTGCCTTTCTTTCTTTTTTCTTATTATTTTTTTTTCTCTTGCCCTATTTTGATTGCCTACGTATATATGTATACAAAGTAAAGAAACCCTGCAATTCCTCAAATTTATTTAATACATTAATATCCCTTTCTAAAAAAATATTACAAATTAACCTAAAAACTAATATTATATATATTTTAAATTTGAGATATTACAACAACGGTCATCAGTTGTTATTACCACAAAAATCAAAAATAAGGGAAGGAATATGGTGCTTGATTAAGTCTCCACCATCCTCTTGAATTCAACTTGAAACTATTTATTGTCAAACGTCATGTCTTGAGGTAACGAAGAATTATTTTTTGTTACCATACCAAAAGGTACGACTTAAATAATTAATCACATGAAGTTACTCTAAAATGGCGTCCTTGAGATGGATCATGAAATATTATAATAGAACCAAATGTTTTAGAATCTAGGTCAAATTTTTTTTTTTTCAATTGTAACTTGATTTCGATTGAATAATATTTTGACTCCATTAAATAATAACTTTACTAGGGTATTGAGCTCGATAAAAGAGTCACGTCCTATGTCCGATGATGACATTCAAAATTGTAAATTTTTTTATGATACGGTTTGGCCATGGTGAAATAGGTCCTCCATGGTAGATCTAGGAAATGTTTAAAAGTCCTTTGGAAACATGTAAAAACAAAGCCAACATGTCTGCACACACGTTCACCACATTGATAAATCGAAAACAAAAGGAGAAACAATGTTAGGGCATCTACACGTTAGAAGAGACAAGAGGGCAATGCCCACTCGTGCATTGCATAGTTTATTCATAATCATTAATTATGTTGCACATTTATTTTTTTTGTTAAGATTTGTGTGATTTTTTTGTTGATTTAAAACACAATTGGTGATGAGTCGGGGACCGGTGGGAGGGAGACAAAGCGTAAACATTGCCAAGATAGCATTCAAATTCAGACAAAAAAAAAAAAATTAGCTTAAAATAAATTATTCCGATATCGATTGGCATTTATGTGTGGGAAGAGACAGGAGGACAATGCCACTCGTGAATTGCAAAGTTTGATTCATATTTTTATGTTGAGATTTGCATGTGATTTTTCAATTTAAAAACGATTAATAATGAGTTGGGGACGGGGTGGAGGGAGACAAATCGTAAACATCGCCAAGCTAGTCTTCAAATCCAGATCAAAAATCATGTTACCTCTCATTAATGGGCTGTATTTCAGATTCCTTTTGTCTCCTCCACTACTACTCCATCATCATTCATATATATATTGGTCATATGCCATGGGAAGAAGCACAACCTGCGAAGTTGAAATATTATTGAGTTAAGCCTTTCTGTTCCTATTGCTAATAACACAGGAAAAATGGCATCTTCTCCTTTGAATTTGAGATCAAAAGCACCCCATTTCCATGCTCGATCTGTGAGCCTACCCTCCACATCTCACCCTCTACTTCCTCAATTCAATGAACATATGTGCAGGGCCTTTGAATCCACCTCTTCTTCTTCTTCTTCATCATCATCATCGCCATCAATGAGCAGTAGACTAAGCGGTCTTGAAGATTTGTATGATTGTATAGACGCTTTGATTCTACTGCCAAGCACCCAGCAAACCTTCGCCAGAGGACACCACGAGAAATGGGTCGACGAGGCATTGGATGGATTTCTCAGGCTCCTGGATGTGTGTTCCATAGCGAAAGAAGTTTGTTCTCAAACGAAGCAAGACGTTCGAGAACTTCTTTCAAGCTTGCGAAGAAGAAGAAGTGGCATGGGAAATATAATTAATGGATACTTGATAGCCAGAAAGAAGGCCCAAAAGGCAATCCATAAGTACATGAAGGATTTGAAAACCATCAAAAACAAACGAACCCACATTGGTTTGGATACAGATCATGAAACTATGGCCATTGTGACAATGTTAAATGAGGCTGAAACAATCACTCTCACATCGGTTGAGTCCTTATTGACCTTTGTTGCAGCAACAAAGGTACAATCACGGCCAAGTAAATGGTCTTTGGTTTCGAAGTTGATGCAATCCAGAAAAGTAGCATGTGAAGATGAAGAAGAAACTGATATAAATGAATTTGAGAAGGTGGATGGTATATTGCAGTCACTCATGATCACTCAAAAGACAAGTAAATCTGGGAACACAATGGATGTGGATTATGTTCAAATGCAATTGGGGAAGATGGAATCGAGCATTCAAGATCTGGAAGAGGGACTAGAGTCGTTATCTAGGCGATTAATCAGAACCAGAGTTTCTCTCCTCAATGTTCTAAATCACTAGTCAAGAAAACCACGATCGATGTAGCATCGTGGGCATCCACAATTTTGTTACATAAAAAAAGAGAATAGTGGGGAAAAAGCCTTCCAATTTGATCTTCATTAAAATTGTACATGAAAAATACAAATATACCTTTTGTTTTCCCAATTGATGATTGAATTGTACATTATTGCAGAAATAATATTGCTGCTCCATTACCCCTTCAGCTTATTAAAGCACATTAAGATTAAAGCTAATGTTTCTACCATTGTCATCTTCTAAGTTACTGCAACTTCTGTGTCTCACACAGGAACTACTTGTGTATATACATCAGCCATTAAGATTTATGTTGAATGATTTCTATGCTCCATATAACCAGTGGGGGTGGGCATGGCTTGGATGACACAGCCCAACATCAGGCGCTCTCCCAGGCACCTTAGAAAGACCGGGGAACGAAAGAGCTATGCTATTGACGACCCTTTTTTCTCATTTTGTTTTAAGTGGGCCAAATAGAGAATGAAACACAGAAATAGGGGAAAGCCTGTTACGAGTAAGTGGAGAGGAAAGATCTCTCTCCAGGGATTCTTATCTCATTTTATTCTAGTGGCTCAACTAGTAATCAATGGCAAAAACTTAAAAATCCATGATTTTCCAGTAGAACCCTATTTCGTCCAAGTTATTTCAAAACTGGATAAAAGAAGCCGTTTTTCGCACAGTTTGCTCTACATATATTAGATTGTCCATTGAGTAAATTAATGTATTTCTTGCAAAAGTTATGAACAAAATACAGTGATTAACATGAGTGACAAAATGGCCTTAACCATAAAACCTATCTACAATTCTGAACTTTTTGATCATTGAAGGGACTCAACCATCATAAAACTTTTCAAGATTTAAAAATTCAGGACATTGGCGGTATAAAGGGTATAATTCTCCAGCCAAGGGCTACGCAACTGTGTCCAAAAGGGATCCTGAGTCCAGTCCATGCTGAATTTAGGTACTTGGAGCTCCGCCAACTTTTCTATCCCAGAGGGTAACTGTAGAGTTGAGGAAATGTTCCCTTCAGCTTCCCCTGTTTCAACATTTTCTCTCTCATCGAATTGCAGTATCTCTTCATCTTCCTTCTTGAAAACCATGTGGCTTGCTGGCATTGGAACGATAAACTCATCAGCTTGACTGCAAAAGGACATGGTATCCATTAATGGAGAAGTAGGAGCAAGTGCATGAATTGTCTTCATTTGCTCTTCCATTGCTGCCCTCTGCTCCAACACCTTCAAGGAGGTTGCCTTCCTATATATCTTACACAACACTATGTCCTGCAATACATTATAGAACCGCCCCGAAGAAAAAAAAACATTATTAGCCTTTTCAAGGAGGTATTTGAATGTTGTCCTACATCATAAAATGTTGTGCCTCGTTCAGTTGTGATAATTTTCATGATCGATCATAACTTTTTTAACTATAACTTAAACCATTTTAAAGTTGTACCTTGCGTAAGGGGCATGTATCAGGCAAGCGATACTCATTCATGACCCAATCAGTTTTGCAACCTCGTGGTGCTCTGCCCTTGTAGAAAACCAGAGTCTTCTTCAACCCTATCACCCTCTTGGGGTCCGAGGAACTCCATATTTTACGGTCTGAACCAGTTGCCTTCCAAAATCCATTCTTAGTTGTCCTGTTTGGCCTTCCTCCACTGCCATGCTTTCTGTCCCTAGGCACCAAGAAGTACCACTCTCTCTCTCCAATCTTTGCCATCCCTATTTAGACAATGGTAACTCCAAATTTATCACAACCATTTTGTATTTGTTAATACAAAAATCAACTCTAACTACGCTTACACGTGCATAGATACATACTATTTTAGTGACTCAAACTTTAGAGGAAAACTTTACTGTTACCCCAAATCCCACGGTCATGTCATGCCGTAAAACTAAGAGAAAAAAAATATTGTTAAGAGCTGAACTAATAGTGTACCTGGCAAGTCCCAAGGATCATAATGGTAAATGTTGAGAAACCCAATAATATCAAAGCGCAATTTTTTGCCGAAAATCATATTTTTTAGATAGAAATCAATGAGTTCTTCTTCGGTTGGATGAAACCTGAAACCGGGCAACTCGAGCTTTGATGTTGATTCATCCATGGGAGTACCAAGAGACCCCTAATAGTCTTTTGCTTGTTTGAATGTGTATGTGTTTATGGAAGCCAATGTTACCACATGCAGACTCTCTTAAAGGGTTTTATAGGAGACATTTGAGAAGACCTGAGCAATGTGGTGGGGACACCTCCAGTGAAGTCTTTTGATGGAGAGAGGACTTGAGAGATAGGTGTTCCAATACCCAAATGGTAGGTCCACACGGTTTATAGACTCACTAAATTTTCAAGAGAGACTTATTATATGGAATGAAGTCGACATCAACACGTCTTTGCTTGACTCTATTTTCTCTCTTCACTTTTTGGACTTTTTCTAGGAAATTTCGATCAAATGGAATTTCTCTAGAAAATTTCTAACACTGGACGTGGGAAAATTTGAAAACTTAGTGCAACTTCAACTTCATAACAATTCATTGTCTATAAGGTTGATTAACTGGACATTGAATCAGTCAAGCCTCACTTGAGTAAAACACTAAATAATGTGGCACAATCATAAGCATAGGATATGTTTAGTGAGACCCCATTAATACTATAATTCACATTGATTTGGTGCCAATAATTTAGTAAAAAAAAAAAAAGTAATGGGCATAGTATCATTGATAGTAACCGTGCCTTAAATTGGTATTGGACAATGGCATGATTATCTTAATCCCGGGGAAGCCATTTTCTCCTATTTCACCATACACCAAAGATTTCGTTAATAGATTTTCCAAAATGTAGTAGTAATTCAAAAGCAAAACCGTGTGGTTTCTTTCCCTTCAACATGAGAATCTGAAGAATCATTCATAGTCTTTGTTATGGCCATTTTGACTTCAAGTCTTCCCAAAAGACCTCTACAAGGCAATGAAGTCCATATACTTACAAGAACCATAGACTTAGATTTTCAATTGCTTCTAGTAATGCCCTCTAATTCCGGCTATCATTTCCACTTTGTTTTGCCTTATTTATTTTCTATAATTTTGTGACTAATAATTTAAACTTGAATTCTTCGAGTATGTGTAATTACTAACAAGTTATATTCATCAAGTTAAAATTAATCATGATATTTATCAAGAGACTCAAATTTGAAATCCCTAAATAATAATACTTAACGTCCTTTCATTGGAGTTATCGATGAATTTTCTTTCATTATTGCTTATAGGTTGACGATTACATAAAAGGGGCTCCATAAAGACATGATACTTACAAGTAGCCTTCTTGGCAATTTCCTGGAATTTTCACACATGGGGCAAAAAGACAGGACATTAAGTTGTTTCTAGCTACTTGCATATACTATCCCAGGGAACTTTAATGGATGTTATGCATCTCAGTTTTTTGTGTGTTGCCTACTAGTTTCGCTTTATGCTAGAATCAAATACCATTATGTTCCACTGATCCTACCTACTTGAAGCCTCCTGTGGGAGGTTTGCCAGGTGACTACTTTTAATTGATGATTAACTCAATATAATCCAAAACANTCCCTAAATAATAATACTTAACGTCCTTTCATTGGAGTTATCGATGAATTTTCTTTCATTATTGCTTATAGGTTGACGATTACATAAAAGGGGCTCCATAAAGACATGATACTTACAAGTAGCCTTCTTGGCAATTTCCTGGAATTTTCCCACATGGGGCAAAAAGACAGGACATTAAGTTGTTTCTAGCTACTTGCATATACTATCCCAGGGAACTTTAATGGATGTTATGCATCTCAGTTTTTTGTGTGTTGCCTACTAGTTTCGCTTTATGCTAGAATCAAATACCATTATGTTCCACTGAGCCTACCTACTTGAAGCCTCCTGTGGGAGGTTTGCCAGGTGACTCTACTTTTAATTGATGATTAACTCGATATAATCCAAAACATTCAGAATTTCAATAGATATTTTCAGTCTTGAATTAGGCTTGGACAATTCTTGGGTTACTCGGGTTCAACCCAATTTATGCTTAGGTTGAGGACATGATTATTTGGGCCGAGGTCAAATTGATCTCTCAAACTGTTCAACTTGCTTGAGTTTCNACTTTTAATTGATGATTAACTCGATATAATCCAAAATATTCAGAATTTCAATAGATATTTTCAGTCTTGAATTAGGCTTGGACAATTCTTGGGTTACTCGGGTTCAACCCAGTTTATACTTAGGTTGAGGACATGATTATTTGGGCCGAGGTCAAATTGATCTCTCAAACTGTTCAACTCGCTTGAGTTGCACCTGTGATGCATATTGTTCAAATTAAGTGAATTTGCCATTAGTCCATGTCTAGCATGAGGAATGGCTCTTGACAAAAGTTAGGGATTCTTCGGTGGATTCAGCCATTGTATCGATCAAACTTTGATTCCTTCTTACTTTCAGACCCAGATTAGTATATTGCCTTCATCTGTTGTTATTGATAACGAATATGGAGCCAAACAGTGGGTGATATCAGCCAACAGTTCCAAATANCACCTGTGATGCATATTGTTCAAATTAAGTGAATTTGCCATTAGTCCATGTCTAGCATGAGGAATGGCTCTTGACAAAAGTTAGGGATTCGTCGGTGGATTCAGCCATTGTATCGATCAAACTTTGATTCCTTCTTACTTTCAGACTCAGATTAGTATATTGCCTTCATCTGTTGTTATTGATAAGGAATATGGAGCCAAACAGTGGGTGATATCAGCCAACAGTTCCAAATATGCAAGCTGCAGAAATTGGAATTGATTGTAAGATGATTATGCAATTATAAACCCCACGGAATTTTCTCCATTCCAATGCAATTTAAGCAGCTGCCTTTTTAATTTCAATATATGTATTGGGCCCTATTTGGCGGGTTTCAGGTTGATCCAATCCAAACCACAATTCCATCCTGACTGAGGTTTGCAACTCAATTAGCACATTTTGGGTACCACTTGCCCACAATTTCCTTCCCCAATAACTAGTAGTCTTGCTTTAGCTACAATTACACTGGCTTTAAGTTATCAACCTAAACCCCACATGGACCTAACTCCATCAAATAGTTCGGATGATGCCTGATACCTTGAGATTTCAAATTCAAATCTTATAAAAAGAACTCCTTAATTGACCATTGTATGTAATTTATAAATTGTGGTGCACATCTTAAATTTACATAACCGTTACAAACCTAAAGATGCATGGTTGTAAGGATTGTTGACCATAAATAATACATCATACCTGATGAGCTAAGTCCAAGGGTCCAACTCATGTTACAAGGCCAAGGGCCTAACTCCAAGAGGTCCAACTAGCCAAACTCAAAGAAGTCTGCATCCAGACAAGCTCATCAAGGTCAAGGAGTTACATCAGCAGGGGGCATGCAAGGGTCATCAAGAGCCTCCTCGACCTAGGGGTGCAACTCGGGCGGGTTGGACAATCAACTCTAGTCTAACCCTAGGTATATAATCTTTAACTCTAACCCTAACCCTACCTCGGGTTGGGAAACTCAACCCGAGCACTACCTGAGTTTAATTCGGGTGGGCTTGAGTTGAATTCGGGTTGATGATTTCGGACTGATTTCGGATTACTTTACGGGTTCAATTCAGGTAGAACCCAAAATAGATTTATTGTTCTAAACCTAATACATATATTACATAATATTCACCTAAATTAACAACTAAAAACTTCAACCAAGTTTTTAACAANTCAATTCTGGTTGAGTTCGGGTAAAACTCAAAATAAGTTTATTGTTCTAAACCTAATACATATATTACATAATATTCACCTAAATTAACAACTAATAACTTCAACCAAGTTTTTAACGAGAAATGCTGAGAGAACAAGAGAGATAGAGAACGATAGAACAAAAATAATATATATATATATATATATTTTTTTTTTTTATTTGTCGGGTTCGGGTTGAACTCGGGTTCACGAGACCTTAACCCGAGCCCAACCCAAATTGAATTCGGATTAGAATTTTTTGACCCAAACCCAACCCAAATATTAAAAATTCTTGCCCAAGCCCTAATTTTTTCGGGTTGGGCTCGGGTTGAAATTGGGTTGCCCAACCCAAGTTGCACCACCCCTACCTCTACCACCTTGGAGTAAGGGTCACTAGGAGCCTCCCCCTTGCCGCCTTGGAAAGAGTCAACCCTTATCTCATCCTTTGACCGAGTCTCATGGAGAGTACCTCAACCGCCTCGCCCGTTGAGAAGAAGTCGTCAGCTCCACCAGAATAGTAATTTATTTTTTTTTTTAGTTATTTAGTTGCTATTAAGTCGCATCTATCTGTTAGGGGGTGACTATAAATTGTAAGTCTCACAAACACTTAGATCTCACTCTATTGAGCACGACTCTCTCTTCTCTCTCTAAGCTTGTACTTTCTGCTCCATACACCCTTGAGCTAATAAAGTATCAGGCGACCAAGACCATTCAAAAGTGGACGTAGGTCATGTTGACCGAACCACTATAAATCTCATCTCCTCTAACTCTCTTTACTTTTAATTACTGTATTTATTACTCACACTTAATAGGTGGTGTGCAAAACCATTTTATGCATCATCAGTTTGGCGTCGTCTGTGGGAACGACAACTTTCTCACTTCTAAACACTTCATTTGTTGAACCAAATGACAATTACCACCAGATCCATGAATCAGCCAGAAGAAAACCCCTCACCACGAGAGGAGGAGGTTACTTCTCCACCAACCAATCTTGCCCCAAATGTGCAGCAAATGCTCGAGACCATGCAGTAACTTGTGGCCCAGAACTAGCAGATCCTGCAATTGATGCTCGTNCAGGCGACCAAGACCATTCAAAAGTGGACGTAGGTCATGTTGACCGAACCACTATAAATCTCATCTCCTCTAACTCTCTTTACTTTTAATTATTGTATTTATTACTCACACTTAATAGGTGGTGTGCAAAACCATTTTATGCATCATCAGTTTGGCGTCGTCTGTGGGAACGACAACTTTCTCACTTCTAAACACTTCATTTGTTGAACCAAATGACAATCACCACCAGATCCATGAATCAGCCAAAAGAAAACCCCCCNGTGGGAACGACAACTTTCTCACTTCTAAACACTTCATTTGTTGAACCAAATGACAATTACCACCAGATCCATGAATCAGCCAGAAGAAAACCCCTCACCACGAGAGGAGGAGGTTACTTCTCCACCAACC